CTTCCTTCCTTCCTTCCTTCCTTCCTTCCTTCCTTCCTTCCTTCCTTCCTTCCGTATCATCTTCCTCCTTCCCTTTTCTTTTCCTTCCTCTTCTCTATCACCACCCTTCCTTCCCTGCCTTTAACCTATCTTCCTTCCTTATCATCTTCCTTCCTCCCTCCCTTCTATTTTCCTTCCTTTCTCCTCTATCCTTCCTTCTCTCCCTTTAACCTTCCTTCCTCTTCCTCCCTCCCTCCCTTCTCTTCTCCTTCCTTTCTTCTCTATCCCCATCTTTCCCTCCCTCCCTCCCTCCCCACACAGGTACCTACCTGACCCACGAGGCCAAAGGCTCCGACGACGCCCCAGACGCCGACACGGCCATCATCAACGCAGAGGGAGGTCAACCAGGCGGGGACGACAAGAAGGAATATTTTATCTAAGAGGGGAAGGGTGGGGCACGGTGGCAGGGCAGCAGGGGGGGAGGAAGAGGAGGAGGAGGAGGAGGAGGAGGGGAAAAAAGGAAGAAGTTGCAGTGGCCAATTGGACCCCGACCTCAACCATCGGATGACAACGGAACCCACCCACCCACTATGTCTACGGCGTTTCTCTCGTGCCCGGGAAGGAATTTGGACGGAAAGAACAGAGGGACAGTAGTAGAAAGGCAGGGCCGAGATTGACCACAGACGGAGAAGGAGAGAAAGAGAGAGGAAGAAGGGGGCATGAAAACATCCGCTGGCTCATGATGCTTCTTGAACTTGTATAAAACATTGCAACCACATGGGAGAAGGTGGGGGGGGAAAACTCCCCCCCCCCCCCCTATATGAACACTGGGGAACCCCTGGAAACCAAAAAAAACCCCCCCCCCCCGCAGCTTTTCCTGCTTGCTTGTATCTACATACCTGCGGCTGCCAAGCTCACACTAAACACACAGAGCTGAAGAGTGAGTGATGATGCTACCTTCCTTCCCTTTCTCCTTCCTTCCTTCCTTCCTCCCACTTCCTCCCATCCGGCTTCCCTCCCTCCCTCCCTCCCATTTCCTTCCTCCTTCCCTTCCTTTCTTCCTCCCACTTCCTTCCTCCTTCCTGCTTCCCTCCTTCCAATTTCCTTCCTTCTTCCCATTTCCTTCCTTCCTTCCTTCCTTCTTCCCATTTCCTTCCTTCTTCCCATTTTCTTCCTTCTTCCCATTTCCTTCTTCCCATTTCCTTCCTTCCTTCTTTCCATTTCCTTCCTTCTTCCCATTTCCTTCCTTCCTTCTTCCCATTTCCTTCCTTCCTTCCTTCTTCCCATTTCCTTCCTTCTTCCCATTTCCTTCCTTCCTTCTTCCCATTTCCTTCCTACTTCCAATTTCTTTCCTTCTTCCCATTTCATTCCTTCCTTCTTCCCATTTCATTCCTTCCTTCTTCCCATTTCCTTCCTTCCTTCTTCCAATTTCTTTCCTTCTTCCCATTTCCTTCCTTAATTCATTCTTCCCATTTCCTTCCTTCTTCCCATTTCCTTCCTTCCTCCCCATTTCCTTCCTTCTTCCCATTTCCTTCCTTCCTTCCTTCCTTCCTTCCTTCCTTCCTTCCTTCCTTC